CTCGAAGTTGTTGACGAGTACGCTTATCTGGGACAAATAGTCCGACTAGGTAAGTCCAACTTCGACCGAGAGGTCAATCGACGGATTCAACTCGGCTGGGCAGCGTTCGGGAAATTACGACACATCTTCTCGTCAGGTATAGGTATCTGACTCGTGGAATAGGTCTACTGGAGAAACTACGTTTAAAAAAACGTGCTAGTCCACTACCTCATAGGTGGCGTGGAAACGTGTGTATAATAGGACGTTTACAACTTTTACAGCTTTGTGAATCGTAATATCTCAGAAACTGTGGCTCGTAGGAAAAAGTATTAAAAGTAATTTTTTGTAGATAATTTTATGATCTACAACTTTTGTCAGGGGTATTTTTATGATAAAACTTACCGCTTTGCTGAAAACCACGACTCATTTTTTTGATCTTTGACCTTGAGTTAAAATTTTTTCCATGCACAGGAATGGTGGGGAACTTCAAAATTTTATTTATAATTATATTTTGAACAATTTTACCTATTATCAGCTTGTTGTAACTTTATGTATCACCGAATGTCTAGATTGACCGGACTAATAACTACGCATTTAATAAAACACTGGTTGGATAGTAATAATTTATTTATACATTGTAAAATTACAAATAAATACAACAATAATATAATAAATTGTTTAAATAAGCAAACCGCGTCGCTTCGATGGCAAAGGATTTTGGCACAAAAATTTGAGAAAAAGCCCATTAACAATTAAAGACTATTTTTTACATTTTACTTGCAGATAGTATAATTAAAATATATTGTTCTGTCTTTGTTTAAGAGTGTAGTAAGTGGCACGGTTTATGAGCGCTGATTTTCACGTTCACGTCAACTGTAAAAGTTTTTGGGTCTGCTTGGATGCAAGAGGTGAAAAAAGGTCAGGAAAGAGTTTAGCTTGGGTAAATTTGTCTGCGCAAACTAACCCTACCTCCTCCTCCCAGTTGGCAAACGCTGGAAACTCGTGCCGACTTCTATACTCAAAAACATGTCTAATGCTGAAATGTATTTATATAAATATAAATTTTATTATATGCATATAAATATATAAATGTATTTATATGCATATAATAGAACAGTGATTAGAAAAAAAAAGATATTGTGCAATGTAAAATTAAGCATAGTAAATATTGGTAAGGCATTTCAAATGATAAAAAGATTGCAATTTGTTAACTGCCTTCAGTTATAAAAACTTCAAAAACTAAGGCGGCTCTAATAATATTTTAGAAATGATGCAGCTAAAAATATTGTTTATGCTGTTCTTGTAAAATTTTAACTTGAGAAAAATTTATTAGATATTTGTTTTATTAGATTGGAATCTATCACAAGAACTGTGTATGGGCAATCTGATTTTGACAGTATGGTGACCGTAGACAGTCAGTGCACCCAATAGTAGAAACTAGAATAGCCGTTGCTTCTTAAAAACAAAATGATACTCACTCATACTGAGTGCCAAATTCGAAAAACCAAGCTTTAAACTCTTTCATAAACAATTGTTGCGCTTGTACCAAATCCTACCTATGACAGAAGAGGACAGTATACATAGTGCTAATGAAAAATACGTAAAATGCATTCAGTCAGTCATGTGTACAATGCACTTCGTCAAGCTATGAAGCAAAAGAGCGTCTTGACCACATTGAGGATTAGTTCCATAATTCTAGTTATAATCAGTAATTACTTTTTTATGTTGGTTTTATGTGCCATGCGAGCGATTTACATTTTAAAATTTACTAAAGCAATATTTTCAATAACAATAATAAATCACATTTCTTAATTCTATAGAAATTATACAATATCTTTAGAAAATATAAATGGAATATAGCAATTCCAAGGAAAATTGAAATTTCTTAAACAATTTTCTTCGCACCGGTAGATTTAATATTCTTATACTTTTTATAATAAGATGATATCTTAATAGAAATGCTTAACACGTTTGCAAGATGGGCGAAACAAAGACTAAATTACAAACAAAACGTTATATTCAATACTAAATACTCAAAGGTTGATTAATTTTAAGATGTTGTTAAGTCACGTGGTGTCTCACTCACAGTCACTTTGACAAAGTGATAGAAACAGCACGAGACTCAACGCCATTTTAAAATTGAGCAGCGTTTGAATATTTTGGGATTAGAGTATGGAAATTGTCAATGTTTAAAATCGAAATTTAATATCCTTATATCTATTTTTTTAAATTATAATTATAAGGAAATAAAAACTAATTTAAGGATAAGGGACCTGCGCCCGTTTTTTTGCATATTTTGTCTATGAGGTTAGTCACGTAAATTTTTACTATTGTTAATGCTAATGGAAAACTGTAAAAATTAATGGGAATAAGTAACAATAAATAATGTCCTCCAGACCTAATTTCGGTCAAGGCAGCCAGTATCAACGCAATCTAGCCACCTGCGCAGCACAGAGTTATAGCGCCTGAGAGTATTACCAAGCACAGGTTTTTCTAAAAGCGTTAGCGAGTGTAGAACTGTGTGGCTAACCCTACTCTACTCTGTTTTTTTTTATTATACCATTTCAATTTAGTTTTATATTCAATGATTTATTAAAAATAATTTCATAAAATCACATTTTATAAATAGAAAATATTGAATGAAAACCTTCTTAGGTCACTATTAAGACGCTGACAACAACGTGTTGTTTTTTTATATTCGATTATTCATTTACTTTTGAGCTTGATTGTTTTATATTTGGTAATAGATAAGCTACAAGCGTCGTGTTATCGCACTTCTCTTTCTTTTGTGTAAAATCCGACACCATACAACTCATTAGCTGCTGTCAGCGCCTTAACAAATGGTAACATCAGCAAATAAATTCGTTGATAAAAATACACAAATTATTTATATCACATGCGTTACGTATATTTCAATCGATGCAAAAACAAAACTAAAACCATGCTCAACTCATTGTAAGAACACGCACCGATGTACACTTGCATCTAAAATAATTTGCAACCAACACGATTTTTGGTCGACATGTGTAAGTCCACAAAGAAAGATGTCCGCGTGAGTTCGTTTCAAGAAGTTGAGCATGGTTTGGGTATCACATGAAAATGTACGTAACGCTCCGTGTATCTTTCTTTGTCGATCTGAGATCACATGTTGAAACAAACCAAGACATTATAACATCTACAACATTGTTGTATTAAAACACAAATAACTGCAAGTATGTTATATTTTTAAATAATTTATGTATACATAGCACGGTACATATAACATTTTACACGTTAAAGGGCGATTTTACATAACTTTGGATACAGTGCGCGTAAGCATATCGCCATGCATCGATATAATTTGCACATTGGCAAAGATATTATTTTAGATATTAACAATATTTTATTATATGACAAAAATGTATAGTTTCTACTATTTAATATAAACTATATTATACACACCACTGCTGAGCGAAATCCTAATCTCATGTCTTACGTTATTTTTGAATGAAAATAGGTGGAAAACTATAGTTAAAATGTATATCAAGGTCATATAGGTATTTAAATCAAAAAATATTGTTTAACTATAAAGTTATTTAGAAAAAAGCTAGTCTAGATTTTCATGGAGATGTAATTGGTAAAAATTAATCAATCGATCAACATTTAAAAATCAATGTATGTAAGTAGGTTATTCAAAAAATAGTTAATTAGTACGTAAAAATTTGGTACCCATAACAAATTATTATTAATAGTGGTCAACGCCTCAGAATTACTGATGCATTATTTAATTTGTTCGTTAATAATTTTATGTATACAGGGATTTTAGGAATACAGTACAGCTATAGCAAACCGAATATATTCGGTATTAAGTAACGGGTGCGCTATTTAGTACCAAGTAACGAAACGTTACACATGAATGCATTACGCTACTCGCATTTTCCATAGTATGGGTACCGTTGATGCGTGTATTGAAATATTTGCTTATTCGGTGAATTTAAAAACGTACGTTACAAAGACTAATATTTGTTTATTAAGTGAAGTATTTTTGTAAATTCGTCGTCCAAGTTTTTTTTTACTTTTTATTAAATATATGTGTGTGTGTGTAGACAAAGTTTTATATTGGAACAGAAACAAGGTAAGAAAGCGTTTTTTACAAATCAGAAATAAGTATGTTTTCTACAAATTACGAATTTTGCGATGCCACGACGTCATACTGTACGCGTACGCAAGACGACTTGATGCTCTAACATAACATAGCAGGTTATGAGGTATCAGAACTAACGAGTAACGCACCGATACGAAAGTAACGAGTATTAATTGTGACAGTAACGAATACATTACGGGTAAGCCTTTTTTCGTTACTTTTACACCTGTAGATTACAGTAGACCCATGTTAATCCGGAACCCATTCTTTTTCGCCAATGCCGGATTATCGGAAATGCCGGTTTATAGGATTTCAATTCAACACGGATTTGCAAAGTAAAAAAATCTTTATTAGTATACACGTAATAATATCTACTCATAGAAACTGCTGAATAACATTGTTGACTTAATCAATATCGATGATTGGTTGTTTCTCAACATTCAAAACTTCTTCGAAAAACTTATCAATTTTGGCTTGCTTCTTGCAACTAAACTGGCGCTGAACGAGTACTTTTGTACTAAAACTTTGTAAAATTTTGTAGGAGAGCGAAGTTATGAAACGCCGAACTATTGGAGATGTCGGATTAGTGAGCGCCTACTGTTTTTCTACATTATTCATCTCAATTAAACTATTTGAAAGCACAGGAATTAATCACATTAACTGCCTATTGAAATATTTGTAGTACACCTACAAACGTTATCACTTCATAAGTAATATACATATTATAAGGTAAAGGAATTTCAAGAACATACGCGGTTTAGTTTATTACACCCAACGTTTTTTTAACAACAAGTTATAGGCAAAATTTACAGTAAATTATGGAGAATAAAGTTCAAACTTACTTGGATATTTCTATCATTTAATAAAACATTGTGCAGAAGTTTAAAAATATGAAATTTTACTCGGACATCTGCAGTAAGGAATTAATAGCCGCGTCCTTGTTGCCGCGGTTCGCTTCCAGTACAGACTTGATCACGTCTTTGTCGATGCTCGGGAACATCTCCTCAATCTGTCCAAGAAATATTAGTTCATTTAAGCCATTGTAGCTCAGATGGTTAACGCTTGCTGTAAATATAACAGAATGCGAGTAACTCGGGTTCGATCCCCGCCGGCACCAATGAAATTGTTAATTGCAATTTTATGTGCTGATTTACCACGTGCTCGGCGGTGAAGAAAAACATCGTGAGGAAACCTGCATGTCTGAGGAATAAGAAAAAAAATATTTCGAAGATATGTGAAGTTCGCCAACACGCATTGGGGCAGCGCGGCGAACACTTCCTTGCCCTAAAACCTTCTCAGAAATGAGGGTAGGCCTGTGCACAGCAGTGGGACGTATATAGGCTGTAACTTTTAAGCCATTGTAGCGTGGAATCAATCAGCCCATATCGTCTCATAGGTGGCTTCAGATAACCATCTCGGAGCCTTGAAGAGAATTGTTCGCGGCTCACTGATGAAATCTACTTTAGCGAGGGAAAGAATCGCATTACGTATACCCGCCACCTAGGCGTTGGTGGGGATAATACGAGGGTGGATTGAAAAGTACACGGCCTCACCAAGAAAATAAACACATACTAAATCAGTTATATTTTTATTTTTCTACATAATCACCATCAAGTTCAATACACTTTTGCCACCTCCCCTTCCAAGCATTTAGACCGTTGAAAAAAAAATGATTCTTCCTTAGAGTCAAAATATGCGTCTACAGCTGCTTTGACCTCGTCGTTTGTCGAAAATCTTTGACTCCCAAGTGCTTTTTTAGGTTAGGGAACAGAAAGAAGTCTGATGGTGCCAGATCAGGTGAATACGGCGGATGCGGTAACAGTTCAAAGCCACAGTTGTGAATTTCAGCCATTGACTGTACTGACGTGTGTACACGTGCGTTATCTTGATGAAACAGGACTTTTCTTCTGAGCATTCCTCGACGTTTTTCTTTTATTTCCTCTCGAAACGACGTAGTAAGGTGCAGTAGTAATCAGAGTTTATAGTCTGACCCCTTTCAAGATAATCAATCATAATCACACCTCTCGAGTCCCAGAATACTGAAGCCATCACCTTATTTGCCGACAAAATCGACTTAGCCTTTTTAGGGGTGGTGAACCAGGTCTTCTCCACTGTTTTGATTGTTTTGTTTCCGGTGTACAGTAATGAACCCATGTTTCGTCCATAGTAACATAACGATTCAAAAAATCATCTGCATCGGCTTCAAATAACTCCAAACAGTCGCGTGAAATAGTCAATCGCGTCCTTTTTTTGTTCAACTGAAAGCAGTCGCGGAACCCACCTCGCAGACACCTTGTGGAAACCCAACTCGTTGACAATGATGTTTTGAGTTCGTTCATAAGAGATGCCTATAATCTCGGCTATCTCTCTAATTTTTAATCTGCGGTCTCCCATTATTAAATCAAGTACTTTTTTAATATTTTCGTCAGTAGTTGACGTCGAAGGCCTTCCAGAGCGGGGTTCATCTTTCACACTCTCTCTCTACCACGCTTAAATTCTGCTATCCATTTTTTGACGGATGAATATGACAGAGCACAATCGCCTAATGTACTGACCATGTCATCATGGATGGCTTTTGATGATAGCCCCTTCTTATGGAGGTACTTAATGACGGCACGCTGCTCGATTTGCTCCATTCGCGGAAATTATGTCCGATTACTTTGTTAATAAATTTATAAAATCACAACTAATTATCGCACACGTTTCGAACTTCACACAATGAACTAGTCTGAACTGAACTAAATAATGGGGGTAGATTTGATTTTTAGAATTGAATGGATCTGTGTTAGGCCGAGTACTTTTCAATCCACCCTCGTATTGGTGGCAGGCTAATGGATTGAAATCGGCCTTTAGTTAAGATACGGGCAAGTAACAAAACTTAAAAAAATTCGTATACAATATGTAACGTAATTAACGCACACCCTCAGACACCCCAATTAGTATATTATGTTATAATCATAATACATACATTGAATTTTTAGTTAAACATTTTTAAGCACTGATTATTTATTAAATTAGTTATACTAATTCCGGAAGATCGTTGTGGTCACGGTACAAATCCACGAACGCAAAGATTTTAACGTGCTTGAAATAAAGTTTATTTTTCTTTATTTTTATTGAATGACAGAATTAGTAATAATACAAATAAAACAAATAAAACTGCACTCTTAAAAGTCTTATTTTCTTAAATTACTGTTTGGTTTAGTTATTGCAGTAAGTTGCCTTAAGGTACAGATTTAGTGTGACTGTAATTTACGTAGTTTTAATTATTTTTGGGATAAAAAATTACCTATATTAAAATTGATAAAAATCGATTCAGTAAACGATTCTGAACAAACTACTTCCAGGATGTGCGTTAATTATGTTACATGTTGTATATAATAAGATATGAAGTTTGCGTTTGATGTATAACTGCAGTAACTCGATGGAAATGATTTCATACAAGGGCTGCAGAACTCAATTTGGCTAAGATTAGGGAAGATTACATTCGGTATGTACTTGTTGTATTTGATTAGTCCAATAGGTTAGGTTACTGCAGGCTTTTGTTAACCTAAAATGAACTCTAATAAAAAAAACAGAGTGTCGCATTTGGTGTGTATCTGCTGCAGTTGCTATGCGGAGATAAGTCGGAAAAGAGCTGTTAAGGAAAGGGAAGTATTTCTTTAGCTTATAATTATAATTGTTGTGGATGCTCGTTGTTATTGCGGAATAACCCTGTTAAATTGAAATGAACCATAATTCACATGACAGAGAGTCATATTCAGAGTGTACCTGCTGCAGTTGCTAGACGGAAATGAGTCGCAGTAATACTGTTAAGGTAAGGGAAGAACGTCGTATTCTCAGCTTATAACTATTGCAGCTGCTCAGCGTTTGAGCGTAATAGTCTTTTGGAGCTAAAATTAAAACTAATTCCAGGGTCAGTTAGGCATTCGGCGTGTACGTGCTGCAATCGTTCGAAGGAAATGAGTTGTAAATGTTAGGGGAGAAGGTCGTATTCAGCTTATAACTGTAGCATCTATCGGCTCGATGTTTTTACGTAATACCCATATAAAAGTAAAATGAACTCTAATTCTACCGGCATGGGATCGCATTCGGCACGTACCTGCTGCAATTGTTCCGCGGAAACGTGCTGGTGCGGCGCGGGGTGCTGGTGCGGCGCGGGGTGCTGCAGGGGCGCGGGGTGCGGCGCGGGGTACACGGGCATGGCCGCGTAGCCCATGCCTGTGCTCGGCACCACCATAATCGGCGGGAACGTCGCCACCGCTGCCGGGCCCACCTGCACACACGCATACACTTTATTACTATCCATGCAGATAAAGAATGGAATTTAACCAGTGGTATCTTTTTTAATTACCACGTGTATTTTATCATATTCTTGCGTTGTCATCAGGAAGTTAGTTTAAAATCAATTACTAAACCGCACCCGGAACGACAGAAACAAGAAAGTGATACTAAAAAGTGGGCGGCTCATCGAGGTTGTACTGTCAGCATACACAGCACCTACCAAAACGAAGACAACGCTAATAACCTTATGTCGTTATGTTACAGATAACGATATTTTACTAAATAAAAAATAATGATATTTTATCAAATCGCGATATTAATCAAATAAAAGGAATGGTCTGTTCAGTTTATTAAAATAAATTGAATTATGAAATTTTTTAACTGAATATTATATAACAAGGAGATAAATCAACTTACAAACATATATATTTAGTAATATTATCAATTTTAACCGTACTGTGTCTCGTTGGTCTAGTGTTGTGTAGTGCGACTGCTGATCATGAGGTCCTGGGTTCGAATCCCGGGTCGGGCCAAAAATAAATTATTAAGTTTTTCCGTCAAGAAATTTTCAGTAGCTGCCCGGAGTCAGGAAGTTGGCGGTGTCTCACCCCCGTGCCTCGGAAAGCACATAAAGCCGTTGGCCCTGCGCCCGATCTCTCTCCGGTCGTGTCGGTTTACCGTCCCATCGGATTATGAGAGTGAGGGAATAAAGAGTGCACCTGTGTTCGCGCATACACTTGGGCACTATAACTTGGGCACGCCGATGGCTAGTCTCCGTTGAGACTGGCCGCCGTGACCGAAATTTGGTCTGGAGGACATTATTATTAATATTATCAATGAGACAACATAAATCATTCAATACTTAAAAGTATATTGAACAGCAATTGTACATGGTGTTGTTACTTGTACCTGATATTGGAAGTACAAACAACGATTATCGCAACGCATGTATTTTTTGTGCTCCTTACCTATGTGTGAGTATAGACAGCGACAGTGTGCAAGCGAGAGGTGAATAGAGGTGACACCATTTAAAATCCTATTCTTTATTAGCGCGAGTAATATGTTAGGATGTCTGAACTGCCCGGTTGGTCTAGTAGTCGTAAACGCAGGTTGCTGACCATGAGGTTTCGGGACGGGCCAAAATCGGTTATTGGGTTTTTCGTTAAATAACTCTTAATAGCAGCCTGGAGTCAGGAAGTTAACGGTGTGTCTCGCAAAACACATAAAGCCGTACGTCCTGCACCCGATATCTGTCGGTGTCGGATTGACGTTCCATCGAACTAAGAGAGTGCAACTCGGGCACTAATCCTGCGCAGGTCAGTTCTCCGTTGAGCCTGGCCGCTGTAACCGAAATTCGGCCTAGAGGACGTTATAAGGATGTTTCGACTGCAAAATTTGACTAATAAGTATTATAGGATTTATTGCTCTTGCGTAGGTAGGAAAAAGTCGACAAGCAGACGGACGGGTGGTTTCTCGTTGTTTCGGTGCCGGAGGGTCATCATATCAAGTCCCTAATGAAAGCCGGACGCCGTCTCGTATGTGTATGTGCGGCGGTCTACGTAAAATTCCAGGTTCGTGGAGAAAAATTCTTTGATGTTCCACCAAGCAAAGAGGCAGATAACAATCCGTCAGTTATGGATACCGGGGCCACGGCTACCTGGATACCATGGATAGATTTGGCATTCAGTGACAAAACGGCCTGCACAACTGAGCCGAAGCCACCAGTAGAGATCGGGCTCAGTGGCAGCTCACTGAGTGACAAAGAGACCCGAGATATGCTGCCAGGCTTATTTTTGGGTGGGGACCGGAAGGACGCGATCAATTACAGCGTACCAGAACAAGCCTCAAGCAGACCAACCTCCACCACAGCGAAACCGCGTTAGCCCTAAAGATATATGTGCACAACCATAGAATACTATAATACACAATAGAATGGCTGTCAACCCTATTTTGTACCGAGGTTCGGCGTCGCCGGGAGCACACATACAAGCAATTACGTCGTATTATCAGTTAATCACTACTACAAACCCGATTCGCTGTGTTGACAGACGGATTTTAATACATATTTATTTGTAAATAGCGTGCAATTTGACATTTTCTAAATAATTTGCGTGAGAAATTTGGAAAAGATTGTAACGTCAAAACACATTTCGTGTTGACATTTATACGTATGAATTGACGTCTTGTGATATTTTAGTGGCTACACGGGCTCCGCCCACTCCCCCGTTCTATTATGTATGTGTTATAGTATTCTATGTGCACAACCATTAACAGATTTCTGTTTTAGAGACATATATGCCTCAGCAATACAAACAACACAGGACGGAAGATTAGACGTCACCTCGGTCTACATGCCGGAGGAAGACATAACTCCCCCACATGATCTCGCCGGACTAGTAAATTTCTACGAGAGGACTGAACTAGAGGTTGTGATCGGGACGGACTCAAACGCGCATCATTCCCTCTGGGAAATGGAAAAACCCAATGAACGAGGTAGTGTTAGTTGAATACCTTTTACTTCTTTAGCACTAACCTAACCATTTTAAACACAGATTCCGAAACCAACTTTCATAAAGAAACGTTTTCGCACAATAATCGACCTCACACTCGTGCACGAAGGAGCATTTAAACTAATCACGGGATGGCGTGTGTAGAGAGAGGCCTCATATGCTCAGACCATAGATGGATCTGCTTCGTACTAAAACTCGATATCCCCGCTACGATACGATGGAGAAATCCCCGCAAGAATGACAAAATAATGTACCAAAATAAGCTAACGTCTTAGCTCGCAGGTTTTGAGCTTGTTGCACCTAGAAGAACAGGTAGTAGCTGTTACTAAAGCCATGATGACAGCTACCATTAAGCTGCCAGAAATCATTCCATCAAGGCTTGCTGAGGGCAAGCAACCGCGGTGGGGTAAAGAACTAGATAGAAAACACAAGAAGGTAACAAAAGCCCTAAATAGGGTTATGAATACCTAAATGGAATGAAGACTACCTATACAAGAGAGACTATACAAGAAAGCTAGCTCTGATTACAAAAAATGTATTAGGTATCGACGTTGGACACGATGGCGTAGATTATGTGGTAACATAAAAACCTGTGAACAAGCGAATCGGATAAGGAAAACCCCAGCTAAAAAGAACACGCCGGGATCCGTCTTTTTAAAGAAACCTGACGGCAGCTATTCAACATCGGCGGATGAAACCTAACGTATCCTAATTGAAATGCACTTCCCAGGTTGCTGTGTGTGAGTTACAACTCAGGGGGTGAACCGCCATGTAGATGCAGTGATACCAACAACCGAAGACTAGATTTTAGCTCAGAGTGGTAAGAGTGGATAAAATCCATTGGGTAATTCAGTTTCCTTCCCTATAAGGCGGCAGGACCTGATGGCATTTTCCCGGCATTCCTACAGTGAGGAAGTAAGGGCCTAATAGTCAGACTTGTTGCCTTAATGAGAGCATGTTTGGCCATCAGAAATGTCCCTAGGGGATGGAGGGAAGTCAAGGTTACGTTCATACCCAAACCAGGTAAGAGCGACTATACGGACACAAAATCCTATAGACTCTTTAGCCGCACATCCTTCCTCCTCCTCTGTCGTAAACTAAGGGTATGGTTCCGAAATACAACCCAGTACACTGGCAAATGCGAATGACGTCATTATTTGACGCCGTATTCCACCATATTCGATACTACGAATCACCAACATGGCGTCGTTTTATGACGTCATTTGCATTGGCCAGCGTACTGGGTTATATTTCGGAACATACCTTAAACTAAACTAAGTATGCAGGACAAATTGTCCGACTAAGTCCAACTTCGACCAAGAGGTCACTGACAGAACCAACTCGGCTGGGTAGCGTTTGAGCATATAGGATACATCTTCCCGTCACGTATACCTCAAAAACTTTAAAACAAGAGTGAACACAACCAGCGCGTATTATTAATGATGATTAGTAGTACTACTTTATTGAATTTCACTCTAGTTTAAACCTGAGACTAATTGTAAACTATTTTTTTAAGCAATGCCGCAAAACATGGTCTTGAGCCACCTGCATCTATCGACTTCCTGTATTTCTAAGCAGGTATTCACTTAATCTATTTAGTATTTTATTTCTATCGTAAGTTCACATTTTAAATAATAGAATAAAACAAAACCCAAAAATGTATCCAAACTTGCAGAATATACAAAACAAAATTGACTGCATATGCTGACCATAAAGAGCATAAAGTTATTGATTAAAAAATACTTACAGAGTAGCTAAGCACCAAATTGATCATGCCTTCCTTTCCATCGCCTTGTTTGCCATTCAATGGATACCAGTTCTCGTGGGTTTCACCCTGAAACATACAAAATAATTCTAAAGTTGGGGACATATCACTGCGATAAAATAATAAACTATTGTTTTGCGTTTAGTGCTTCCTTTTACATCAGTCCGTATATTCCGCTGCAGATTGTAGAGTATTTGTCTTAACAGCCACGCTTGGCAAGCGCATTGGCAATCGCAGTACCTGACGTCTCGCACCGACGATCTTGACTTTTTTCATCTGGCGTAAACGAGATGGTTTTACTGTTTTCGGAAGCCATTACATTTTATTGGAATTTCCCATAGTTGCTTGTTGTGACACTCAATATGGGTGTCGTTAGAGATGATTACGAAACAGGAGTTGGTAAAATCTAGGTTGGAACCACCTTCTTGTTGGGTTCCAGTCTGAAGGATATAGAGAGCCCAGTACCATTTATTGTTTTAAAATAGGTAACCATTTTACTTTGTCTATTTATTAAAAATTTTGGTATTTTCTTAAAAACACTCAAATAGTCATAACTTTTAAGGAGATCAAGTGAGAGCTCTGCCACACAAATATTTTCAACAGCAAATAACCCAACTATCGCCCTGTTTCGTTTGATCTATTAAAATTTGACTACTATTTTAAAAATAACCTTGTATATTTTACGTTATATTTAGTTAAATAATGTTTTAACAAATAAATCGCTTACACAGAAAAATGTTAAAATGAAGATATTACTGATTAAATATTGTCATTCGTCCATTGTGAAATAATCTTTATCACTTTGCGATAACTATCACATGTGATACTTTGTAAGGTATAGTCCGTTCGCGTTAAGAAAATAGTGAGTCATCAATGCAACTACAGGGTATCTAAAGGTGTGAGATTAGGTGATCGTGCCGGCCAGTTGACCGGTCCACCGCGGCCAATCCATCTGTTCAGTACCCGAACTCAGTTTCCAAAAAACTTCTTACACAACGGGAGAAATGCGGTGGACCACCATCGTGTTGAAACCACATGCGACGAACGAGGTCTAAATTTATTTCGTCAAGTTCATTGCTTAGTTCTTTTCGCAAAAAACGTCCGTAGTTTTCACCGCTCATAATGTGGTCTAGGAAATACGGACCAATAATTTTGTCATCTATAATTCCCGCCCACACACTGATTTTCCATCGGTGTTGAAAGTGGCTTGGTTTATACGAATGCGGATTTGTCGTTGACCATACGTGTTCCTTATGAGCATTAAATAATACACCTGTTCTTACAAAAGAGCATTCATCCGTAAAAAGTACGCGGTTCAAAAACTCAATCTTCTTCAACCTTATCAAGTAACCATCTACAGTAATCCATTCCCGGCTCGTAGTTGTTAGGAAGAAGACACTGAACTCGACGATAATGATATGGGTGCTGGCCATCATCTTTGAGGGCTCTCCAAACGCGCATATGGTTCACATCTAGTTCACGTGCCACGGAGCGCGTGCTCCGCGTCGCATCTTCCTCAAACATGTCGATAATATGCTCCTCGATGTCGTCGTCGTCGTACATCCTCGGTCTTCCTGAATCTGTACGTTGTTGATCACGGCCATGCACACTGCCAGTATTGTACATACGAATGTGAAGTCGTTGGAACGTCATTGCCGACGGCAATTGTATATTTCGTGGAGTAGCAAAGCACTCCCCGTAAAGTCTTCGTGCTGCTGCATAATTGCAGTTACATTTCCCGAGACACATCAATATATTAAAATATTCCTCGTTTGAGTAAGACATCGCACACAAGTCACTCACGGCGGAATAATAATTTCGCAATATAAAACACAACCGTCAATATCAGTGCTAACGCGCTACTGGCGCTTGACTGCTTGATGCTTGTTTGTTTGCATAGACGTGGCAAAGCTATTATACTCTATAACATAATTTTGATATTTTCTAAATCGATAAAAATTTCGTGATTTTTTTATGTTATTTTTTTAATAATAGTTATTATTTATTTATTTCAGACAGCGTCCGTAAGTGTTACTAAGAAATTAAATTATAGCTAGGATTAATAAAAATACATTAAAACACTTTTATAACAAGAAACATTTAAAAAATTGTGTTATAAATCCACACAATAACAAATACTTAAACTATTATGCTGCTATGTTTTTCAAAATCTAATAATTAGCATTTTTTTATCGACCGACGATTAACGATACTTATTTATATTTTTATTCTTGATCACTGAATTGTGACAAAATTTTATGTTCATAAAACTTCCCATGTTTTAAATGTTACTACTAAATATTAGCACAGAATAAATAATAGATATTGGATCAAAATTAGTTAATCGGCATATAGTGGACGCTTCTTTTTTATCACTCGAAGAGTGGAGTATTTTGGGTTTTTCCTAGTACCTAAGTCCTTCGTCGGCTTTCGCTTTTGAGTTCAAAGAGCGCGCAAAACGCCGAGTATATTACCTATTAATTTTGTTTTGTTTATTATATTCTAGCAATAAACGACAATATGAATTTATTTAAAAAAATAATTACTACCTACTACATAAATTCTTTATCGAATAATATTTAATATGAAAAATACATACTAAATTTCTCCTACAAATAGTTGCAAATTTGGAATTTATCACGATATTTTATGCATGAAATAACCTTTTTAAATATTTTCGTAGATCTATTTAGCAAAAATTAGTGGTAAATTCATAACTAGTATAAGTATTCAAATGATACTTATAATATCATAATGATACTAGATGTATAGTTGTAGCACGAATGGGTCGGCTCGACCGGGGAAGGACCACGCTCTCACAGAATACCAGCGTGAAATGATTGCTTAATGCTGCTGTATTTCGTATGGTGAGTGTATAGAATCGGAGAACCTTTTTACTGAAAATGAGGCATTCCATCTTAGTCCTCACGGGTGACAACGCATCTGCATTTTGATTCGTAATCGAGGATAGATGTAGATGTCTATGAGCCACATCCACCACTTACCATCAGGTGGAATGTGTGCTCGTTTGTCTCCTTATACTATAAAAAATACTATGTGTATTGGGGTTGAAATAATAACCATTTCATTATAATTTCTATTATTTTGAAATTAAAATTTTCTGAGAATAACTGAGTCTAGATAGGTATAAAGATTTACACAAAAACCTTGGGGAAGCACGCGCCGCTTAGCGGCTTGCTTTGAGTCGGCCATGTCAGTGACCTCATATCGTACCGTAGACTATTATTTATTCTGTGACGTAGATAATATTATGTCGGCACGTGTCGGTAAGTTCAGAAGCAAATAACATTTTTAGAAATTTAATATTTCTTAAGTTATCTTATTAGAAACCTAAAAACCCCATTTAAAGCAACCAAAAAAAATTTTCATTATCATAATTACATAAATGCCTATGTGTACACCTATACGTCCCTGAAACGACCAACAGGGTTTTTGTTACAGACTGTATATATATCTACGTGTTACTAAACCTACTTACGTGCACGCCGTGTATGCGCGCGGTGTGTGTGTGTGTGTGTGTGTGTGTGTGTGTTTTTTTGATAATAAATAAAATTAAATACCAACCCAAGCATACAACTGCAAGACTTCAAGATACCATAAGTTCATACTGTGTAGATCGGAACAAAAGTTAAATTTTTATCTATGGTAACCGCTGTTAACATTTGGACGTTGAACATCTCAGTCCTTCCCGTGACATGGGTGCTGTAAAGCGCTCGCAACGTCGGGTATTTATAGTTCAATATACGTGATAAAATCCGTAAAAACTAGTATTTCAATATGAGAACAATAAAAAGTTACAATTACATTTACATATTAGAGGTTTAATAGACATTCAGTAGCGCCATAGTCATAAGTTTCAAGCCAATTAATAATTTTATTTTTGATTTGATGGTTGTTGTAGCTTTTTGTAATACAAATTTTATTAAATTTATTGTATAGTACTGGCGCAAGGTAAAAAAATTGTCTTGGCAAAAGCACTATGTGTTCTAGGGACTAAGTATCTATCTACTTTATTTCTTCTATTATGTTTTATACTGTCAAGTTGACAGTGTGCAGAGTACCTATGGAATCGCCTAATACATTGGTATATAAATAATTTTCTCACACTAAGTACCTGCGTTTTATCATAAACAGTGTTGTGGGATGTCTATACGGAAGAAAAAGTAATACTTTGAGCACAACACTTTGAGCTCTTTCAGCATCTATTAAGTACGTTTTGCCTGCCCCACCCCAGGAACAGATCCCATAAGAGATGACAGATTGACAGAGCGCATTAAAAGTTTGTATCAGTAACTTAGAGTCTGCCACCTGACGCAATGATTTAAAAACATAGATGAGTTTCCTTATCCTGTTTGATATGATTTTGATATGTGGAGCCCAATTCAGATTTTCATCGACATTGATCCCTAAGTATTTCACAGTTTTGGACCTGTTGAGTTTTGGGCAATAGCGAGGGGTCTGTGAATTGTCTATTGCATTTATTCAAGTGTATTTGTAATCCTAGATCGTTCAAAGAACTTGAAACACTAGTCTTACTAAAACAGAGGTATGTCGGTTATATGTCGGTTTTAGAAGCGTTCAGAGGCTAGAAAGGCTTGTCTTTTATTTTTTACCGTTGTATCCAACCACGCTTTTGTCTTTACGTGTCCGGCGTTTATCCACGTTTCGTCAAGATAGTAAATGGTTTTATTAGCGGCTCTGTATCCTTTTATTTGTCTCATAAAAGATATTTACGCCTCCTTAAAACAATATCTTCTCTTTCGACTATCAATGTTCTGCTATCCTGTTTATTGAAATCGAAATCCAAGCTCGTGCATTATTTTATGAAGTGTGGTACGTTTGAAAACAGGAATATCTTCGTCAGCTTCGCAAAGTGTCATAATTTTGTCCAACGTCGGGTAGTCGTTATTTATTGTATTTATAATATATTGAATGAACTTTTCTCCTTATTGCACATTTGTCTAGTTCATCTAATTTATCGACCGTCGATAGTCGAGCTCTTTTTTTCACGGGGTGTCTTTTGTTCTTTAATAATTTTATAAACAGTATTTTCGGACACACCATATGCACTTGCTGTTTTTATTACTGTGCTCTCCACAGTCGCATTTAAATCACACAGTTTAAAGTACTTTTAAACATTGTAAATTACGCGTCTCTCTCCGCTATGGATTATTGATCCACTTTTATTCTTTCGAATAGGTGAGGTATTCATTTTCAAAATTTAATGTTGAACGAGTAACACGCAAAGTACTAAACCGTTTTGTTCGAAGGCCTGACTTCAACTGGTCACTGCGAACTCGACTTTCTAATTTCTTGCATTTTAATTGGCTGGGGGGGCGTGGCCAGGCCGGCGGACAACGATGACTCACTATTTTCTTAACGCGAACGGACTATAGAGTAATACCAACACAGCAATACTACAAGCCCTACTCGTTTACTTCAATTGTCTTAAAACGCCATCATAGGAAGTGGAACATTTTCTGGTTCAGTACAAAAAAAGCTACTCCTATAATATTTACTACTCTCATTTTTAAATTGTGTGCTACTCAACATAACATCGCTCTCACTTGTCTTGTATCTTTACGTACTCGCGCTACATTGATTTGTACATTCTTTCTAAAGTAACTAAGTATGCTGATAAATAAAATCATAATGTATGCCAGATAATGTTTTTAATTAATTATTTTTGGTAATAATACTTACATTCAGCACCGCCTGTGGTATGTTAATATGCGTCCAGGCGATTAATTCGTCCATAGTGAAGGAGCACTCGTCGAATATCTCCAGGTAGATGGAGTTCACACCCGGCGGGAGGAGGCTGTAAATAAAATCGATAAATAATTTAGGTAAGCAATTAAAGCAATAAAAAATAAAAACTGATTTCAAATTGCTAAAAAAGAAGTTATTTATTTTCAACCCTTAGGGATGGAATATTTTCTCCAAATTTATGTGAGACCTCCCTTGAAGTATTTAAGAAAATTACCTAACCTACAATTTAAGAAAAAAAGAATAATTAAAATCGGTCCTTTATCTGCGAAGATATCATATGAAATTCCCTAAACAATAGTCCAATATGAAATTTTTTCCCCTATTTTCCACCATTGGAGGCGGAACTTAATCTTAAAAATTTAATTAGAACACCCTTGAGATAAAGCCTATTTAATTTAAAAAAAATCCGTTCACAATCAGCGAAGATATAGCATAACATAACATAACATACAAAAAATATACACACTCGAATTGAAAACCTTTTAAATCGGTTAAAAATATTAATATAACACGCCTATCTTTGTCACCTAGTTTCGCTTTCGAGTTTAGCTACATTAATATTAATGGCAACATGGTTGAAACGAATACAAATGAAGCAAGAATGTTAAAATTATCTGATTTTATAACTAGCTTTATAATTAAGACAATAAAAAGGATGGTAGACCAAAATTTTATATTTTTTGACAAGGTTACAACAGATAATAAATAAACGCAGATAAAATTAATGTACATCTACCTATATTACATATTTTGTTTATTGAAATAAAGCCATAATTTTCCAGTTCCTCATTTGGTGAAATTATATAGCTTGAAGTTAGAAATAATATGAATATATGAAATGTAACGTTCAATAGTCGATCAATTATACGAATGAATACAAAATTCAGATTTTAATTAAAAGGCGACAAGCAGATGTCCTCACCAATGAATTACTTTGTTCCATCGCGGCGTTCTTCCGCCGCTGGGGTCCGTGTGGGTCTCGTATATGCAATGTCCAACGCGAAGGCGTACGTACGGGTCCATGCGGGTGAGACCTGAGCAAAAAGTTTTGTATTACCGGTTATTTTGAAGCCGTTAGGTCAGGGGCTTAACGCTCGCTGTAAATTTCACAGTACGCGAGCAATTCGGGTTCGATCCCCGTCGCCACCAATGAAATTGTTAATTGCAAATATTTATCACGTGCTAGGCAGTAAAAGAAAATTACATAAAATAATCGCCAACACTTTTCCAATATGTATGATGTCCAACCTTTGCTTTGAAACGAATTACCAGTGTGGCGTCGATTTATGACTTCATTTGCATTGGCCAGTATATTGGGTTCTATTTCGGTACATACTTTTAACTTCACGTGTATGTATCCTGGAATTTTGCAATCAATATTTCACCCACTTCCACAGAAGCTATCGAGCTAAAATTTGGCACACACTTTTGGTTCTCCTAATAATGCTTGATTACTTAAATGCCGCTATTTTTAATCCATTATAGCGGACGTTACAAAATAGCTTGTCATTTACACAGCTACCCATATGATGTGGGTATCAAATGAAAGGGCGTAAAGAAAATAAAAATGCGTAAAGGAGTAAAGTAACGTTATTGTAAATCCAATATGGCGGATGTCACAAATTAGCGATTTATAATTTTTATAGTAACTCCTATGATATGGGTATCAAATGAAAGGCCTTGAGGAGCGAAACACAACAAGTAAACTGACAACATTTTGGGTTTGGGGGGTTTTTTTTTTTTGGTGAACTCTCTTTTTTTTTTTTTTTTTTTTTTTTGTTTTTTTTTTTTTTTTTTTTATTTATATTTTTTTTTTTTTTTTTTAAAAAATATGTTTCCTTTTGCCGATTTTCGCTTATCGCAATTTTCTCAGTTTCTTTTTCTTCTAAATCCAATATGGCTGACGTCACAAAATGGCGATTTATAATTTTCATAGTTACCCCTATCCGTTGTAGTAGGCGTGTCATAGAGTGGAGACCGTGTTTAGGTAAACGTAGTATGGGACTGACTAGATGGAGCAATGATCTGCGCAAGGTGGCTGGCAGCAACTGCCAAGTAGCACGCCTTGGAAGAGACCTATGTTCAGCAGTGGACTGCCGCAGACTGATGATGAAACCCTATGATATGAGTGCCAAATGAAAGTGCAACAATAAGTAAAGTGACGTCATTCTCAATCCAATATGGCGGTCGTCTAATATGAGAATACAATATTATTGACATAGTTGATCGGATGATGAAGCTGGAATGTGGCCACGGCTAAAAAGGCGGAAAAAAAATGGAAGCCATATCAATTTTAAGGAGTTGTTATAACTCGGCAAAGATTAGGGATAGTTTGGTGGTGTTCGAACAAAAATGTTGTAGGGTCAACTGATGGCCATAAAAAAATTAAGATGGCAATCAAGTAAGTTGGCAATCAAGAACTTAGTTGCTCCAATCCGCCTGTAATTTTGTTATCCCGAGGTTTTTGGAGGCCCTGATTACGATTATGGGGTCGGGTAGGTCAAATTTTGCAATTGTATTTTAAAATTACGCCTAGCTAAGTAACGACAATCCAATATGGCGGACCAACCAAGATGGCGAACTAGTTATTTTTTGCACACTCCCATACTATGGGTATTATATGAAAAGGTTTGCTGGGAAGATAAGGAAAAATTAAATCACGACACTCTAAATCCAATATGGTGGACTCCCAAAGATGGCGGACTATGTTTTTTATTTACCCCCATGATATGGATATATGAACATATGGATTTAAATAATGACAACAATATGAATCCTTTATTCGCTGAAAAATACAAATGACATCCGCGTACAGCTTTTTGAGGAGATGTCTGCATTTTATGGGTTTTGTTGTAAAAGCGTACTAATTCTGTGGAGTCTAGTAACTGGCATTAAAAGCTTATGTTTGTTCTTTCTTAGTGTTTAAAGTATGAATATCTTTACTCTTATGAAAGCTATTTATTAGAGTTGGACCGATTAGCAGCCAACTAATCGATGAAGCCGATTAATCGGCCTATTTGTAGTCACCGATTAGTCGGCGATTAATCGGCTAAAACCGATTAATCGGTTTTTTTATTTTATTAATTTCAGCATATGTTTTTCGTGATTTTCTGCGTGGTAAGTGCGGCTACATTGTTATGAGTAAAGCTTTAAATTTAAGAAAGGAATAGTTTCTCTACCATGCGTAAAATCACGTCAGATTTATATGTAGGTAAATCAAATAAATAATAAAATAAGTAGGTTCATACATAACTTTTATTGAAAAATCAGTCTAACAACATGTTCTAATGTTAAATTTTTCTGGACATAGGAACTTTGGTAAGAAAATGAATCTAAGGTAGCTATTTAAATTTAAAACTAAACTAAAACCAAATTACTTACTATTTTAATTCCACTTTTTCTTCCCGCTAAGAAAATTGAAAATTTTCAAAATAGGGAAGTTATTGGTTTCACCCCGATTTTCCAAAATCGAATTTTCATCAAATCTCGACGGTTTGAGATCCCAGGAAGCTATTCTGACTAATTTCACGTGGACGTCGTACGGATGTATGTATGTGTGTGTGTAGGTATATGTAAACCTTTCATAACGTTTGAACGTCTTGATCGATTGAGATGCGGTTTGCGGAGTTTTAAAGATCTCAATGTGGAGATAGTTTGGTGATAATATGAACTGATTCGGACGAGTAGATTTTGAGAAATCTCAAAAATAAAAATTTTGAAAAACTGTTTTTTTTGGAATAACTTTTAAACGACTTTACATAATTTGGTGCGCTTTACATTTGAAATTAGCGGGAAGTTCCAGGGATGGCCTGCAGGGTCAAACAATTTTTCTAATCGTAATGCAGAGTAGTAACAGACATTTCCGAGAGACCGACATTTCCCGAACGCCGCCGAAACAAGGATCGGCTGGGCCGATTAATCGGCCATTTCTTAACCGATTAATTGGCTAATCGGCCTATAGGCCAAAGTACTAATCGGCCCAACTCTACTATTTATGTTTTTATGTACAAACATTACATTTTCATAAATATATTGCGACGTCACAGTTAATGTGTTTATTTCTATAAATTTTTCTCTAAGACTTTATACAATTTAAGTTATAAATCGCCCGTACCTTAGATTCGCCCGTAGATTAGAGTTTAGAGATAGTTTGGTGACTCGACGATATAAACGACTCTAGGATAAAAGTAGGCGGTAGTAAAAAGCCGAATTTTTAAAAAGTGTAAAATTAAAAAAAATATAAATCATTTCTTTATTTAAAACAACACTAAAATATTAACCAAAATACAGTTAAAAACTTATCTTACTATAATTTAATTTGTATAACAAACTTCGATCAATATTGATCGAAGATAACAAAGCTTGTTTTTTGTGGCCATCTATGTTTAGGATTGTTTGTAGAGTCATAGGTGGAATTACTGCGTTCGTAAGTCAAAAATTAAGATAATGAAATAATAAATTAAGTTAATAATTTAAAATAAACAAGGAGTCGTAGTCACAGAGTTGATAATGTCCGCCATTTAATAGTTATATGCGTTAGTCTCAGAACATAAGGGGTATGAATTATATATTTGTATATTAACGTAATTATGTATACATCAACGCAGATAAGTTTAATAAAGTGTATCACTGAAATATTTAGCAATAAATATTATTAATTGCTTTGTTTACGTGACATCGGTTTATGCAGATGCGTTGTCAAACTGTCTAGCTGTGAATTGACGACACTGTTTTGATTCAGGAAAAAGCGTTCCAGAGGCCTGCACTCGGATCTTCCGACCATATTTCATCAGAAATATAGTCGGAAGATCCATTAGATTTTTTTTATTTAGTTTTAATTTTATTTTTTCAAGCATAATTTCATTAGAATATGAATTTATGCTTGAAAAATATAATTTGTTTAAAATCTATTAACGTTTTGAACGGCAACCCGACGCGGCCGGAGATAGCGCAGGTCCAACGGTTTAACGTGCTTTCTGAGGCTCAGGGGTGAAACACCACTAACTTCCTGACTCCGGGCTGTTACTGAGAATGAGGATTTCTTAATAGCAACTAAAAAACTGAATTTTTGGTCCGACCCAGAATTTGAAACTAAGACCTCATGATCAGCAGCTGCGCTTACTACCACTAGACCAACGAGGCAGTCATCTCCTTACACCAGATTAAAATATGCAGACCGACGACAAGACAGGGTTGAGACGTCTTGTATTGCGATCATCCATCATCGTCAAACAAATGGTCGGATATACGTTCTGCTCAAGACTTCACGTGTAATATACTATTTATGCCTAACGGTAGGCACATGTATTGTAGATCATTTCTTTTAGTATTTATTGAGTCATATGTAAATAAATTTATTTTTTATAACCACAACAAGTGTCAAAGCTGTCGCCGTGAATTTTCATACAGCGCGAGCAATCCGAGTTCGAACCTCGCTGTCTCAGCTGAAACTGTTAAGTCCAATTTTAAGTACTGATTTAGCACATACTCGTCAGTGAAGGAAAACATCGTGAGTATACTGGCATGTTTGAAGAAATAAAATATTTTCGATGATACTTACCAGGCGATAGAACTTTTCTTCCCAGCATTGATACCACCATTTTACGCAATTAGTTGGAGTGTTAGCCCATTTTAGTTTTTATGAAAAGAGATATATTATGAAGTCAGCCAACATTTAATGACGCGCTGCGTTTTATCAACTGCTTAATAATGCTCCCAGAAACGAGAGGTCTGTGCCCATCAGTGGGACATATTAAGGCGATGTAGTAGATTTAACAAGATTAGGTTTATACCTGACCACGTAATGAACGTGCCGCTTAAGAGTCACATGAAATCCAATTATCGGTTTCCGATTATTAGTGGAACTACTTATTGACTCAGTACTTGCCATTCTTTTAAAATGTAAGGGTGTATACACATGATGTATTTTATTATGAACTGCATTTTCAACTAAGCAATAAAAAAATTTATGCGTTTTTCAAGACAAAGTTTACTTATTATTTCCTCAATTCACCAACGAAGACGAAATCTTACAAACATTAAAAATCCCAAATGTGTATTGAGTGATGTAGAGTTAAGATTTTAAAATCTCGAAGGATATATAACATAAGGTCAACAATAAGTTTATGAGATCTGCGGTCGATCACAATCTTATTACTTATTAATAAATTAGAAACTATTTCATAAATACGCGACTAACAAGACATTCTATTTAGTTCTGTACGACAACGCATCCCGCACTTCGATCCTTAATCGAAGATAGATGTATGAGTTTATGGACCACAGTATCCATTTGCCTTCAGGGACACAGAACAGTCCCCTTACCTACTATTTTCAAAAAAGCGATTAGTTAAAAGAAAAGAAAGAGGAAATAGGGCAACGAAATCTTCTTCCTATTTTACCCTTAACAATTCCTGATAATAAAGAAAGTAAGTTAACGCTTAACATAAATATATACATAAACACTCACGCCTGTCACCCAGAGGGGTAGGCAGAGACTACGGACTTCCATTTGGCACGATCCTGACATACCTCTTTCGCCTCCTTTACATCCATATATCTACGCATACATGTTCGTCGGTTAAGGGTACTTCTAACGTGGCCCCTTTTCAAAATATCGCCATTTAACGCTTAACTGACTGCTAAATAGCACGGATTTCTCTCTCCGTTTGTGATTTAGTTATTTTTTAAAATAATAATATTATAAGAGTCTAAATAACTTAAAACAACGCGTATTGATCCTTGTGAGGTCCGTATTTATATAAAATTATTGAATCCATTGAATTAAACATTTTTTATATAGCATAAGGGAGACAAGCGAGCCCACAGTCCACCTGATGGTAAGACATCTACAATCTACATCTTTCCTCGATTAAGAATCAAAATACAGATGCTTTATCAGTTATCACCCCTGAGGACTAAGATAGAATGCTTCGTATCCAGTAAAAAGGGTCTCCGGTTCTCTACACTCCACCATACGAAACACAACAGAATTAAGCTAACAGCTTAATTCTGTTGTGTTTGCAATGGTATTCTATGAGAGCGTGGTCCTTCCCCGGTTGAGTCGAGCCATTCAAGCTACCACTACAGTATTGCGCAGCTATAAAATTGCGCGTTTAATTGAATTATTTGCAGCTATTTATTACATAATACATTGCAGCACCCTAGTCAAGGGGGGAACTTGGGCGTCCGGATGTATGTCATTCTGCATTCTGTGAACACGTAAAGTGTTGCCTCCCCGCAAATCTATTACATTAGATTTGACAGAACTCAAATCCTCGCAAAAGAACACCGCTTCTTAACAAGGATGATTTATTTAATTAAATTATTAACTTGTTGGTCCAATACACGTCTGCAAAATTTCAGAAAATTCAAACGATTGGAAGTGGATGAAAAGAAAATTGTTTTTTTTTTTTAATACAATAAGTGTGACAATCAATCAGACAGTCTACTTGATGGTAAGCGGATGCTGTCGTCCATAGACATCTACATTGTACTCAATTAAAAATCAAAATGCATATGCGTTGTCACCCCTGAGGACTAAGATGGAATGCCTCGTTCTCAGTAGAAAGGGTCCCGGTTCTCTACACTCACCATAAGAAACACACATACCTTGCAGCATTATGCTGCAATTTTACGCTGGTATTCTGTAAGACCGTGGTCATTCCCCAGTCGAGCCAACCCGTTCGTGTTACAACCACAATAGTTGTAGCATGACTCTATCACGTATAAAAACTTATAAAATTTCATTAAATTCATACATACATAAAATCATACAGGTCAAGCTAATATAAAGCCTTGCATATTGCAAGAAATGTAAACTTAAATATTTCTAAACAACCAAATTTATACTGCCGAGGCATTTTAAACATCTAAAATGCCATGACAAAATATACTAAACGACAAAGTGTTTCATATTTTCGTTGACCGTCTGTAAATATTACCGCTTTATTACAGTCTGTATACAGACGTCATATTAGTACCTATTTTCTGCGGTTCAATGTCAAAAAAATTAACAAGCGACCAAAAAGTATTTAAATGTTAATAAGAATTTTGTAGCAAGAAATTTACTAACCTAAATAACTTAGCTCACGTGTAGAAAATTGCATTAAACGTTGCAGCTTCAAAAAATGAAATTTCACGAACAATAAACGATGAATACCTATAATGCTCTTCGCATTTGCACGTGACTAAATCTGATGACTAAATCGTTGATGCTGGATTCAAACCGCAACCACCAAGTTTTTAATGTACTAGTAACTATTTAGGCGACATTGAGATTGTGATGTATATTTTTTGGCCTACTCAAAAGGGTAGAAAAAAAACTTTTAACAAAAACTAAGTCTCTTCTTCAGAATGTGAAATTATTTTATTCTTTTTAGTTTTTTTTAATAGAATAAGGGTGACAAACGAGCACACAGTCCACCTGATGGTAAGTGGATACTGTGGCCCATAGACACCTACCTACATTCATCCTCGATTAAGACTTAAAACGCAGATACATTGTCACCCCTGAGGACTAAGATGGAATGTCTCGTTTCCAGTAAAAAAGGGTCTCCGGATCTCTACACTCACCATACGAAACACAGCAGTATTAAGCTGCTATTTTATGCTGGTATTCTGTGAGAGCGTGGTCCTTCCCCGGTTGAGCCGACCCATTCGTGCTACAGCCATAGTATAGCTGCAGCGTGGCTCTACCACGTACAATAAGTTCTTTGAAGCCGGTTTTTACATATGGTCCAAAGTTATTCTTTTACTATCATTTTACTATGAAAAAATTGAAGAAAGTTTGATACCTTAGATTTAGACAATACTTTAAGAAAATATTACAATCATTACTTCTCTAATTTTAAGAAAACAATATGTGCGGATCATATAAAATTATATTATAGGTACGTGGGTAGGTCGGAAAAGTTTCCAACCTAACAAAGATACAAGCTTTTTTCTTAAAATTTATTTTTATTTTCTACAGTCTCCCTCTAACTCTACACACTTCTCCCAGCGATACTCCCATCTCTCTAACCCGTCCAAATAGCACTTCAAAAGGAGGTGATATTCAATTCGATTGTATGTTTTTATGTGTGTTAACATCATAACTTTTCTCTGGATGAACCGATTCCGATGATTCTTTTTCTATCTGTAAGCTGGTGCTTCTCGTCTGGTCTCAAATTTAATCAAGATCTGACCAGTAGTTTTTGAGTTATCTTTAATAATGCGTATTTAATTGACTTCGAATACATTGATGGTGTTCTCATTTTAATTATATTGAAGTCTATTGTACAAAATTTTTAATTTTGCCTCCTCATTTGACGAAACTCTCTAGCCTCCGAGCGCAATTTTTAGATGTGAGGATAAAACGATGTCGTTTGGCGTCAGAACTGGTGAGTAAGGCGGATGGCAAAGCAGTTCAAACCGTAATTCTCTCATGATTTTCGCCATGATAACCGCTGAGGCGTGAGACCGGCGCGTTATGGTGAAACAGGATTTTCTTTTTTTAATGTAGCCGTTTTTCCGCAGTTTCTGCTTTCAGTTTGTCAAGTAAGAATGTGTGGTATGCTCCTGTAGTGGTTTTTCCTTTTTGAAGATGCTTATTAATTGATTAAGATAACTCCATGACTATCCAAAAAAAAAAAACAGTCGCCATCACTTTCCCCAGCTGAAAAAAAAACAGTTTTTGCTTTTTTTGGAGCCGGTTCCCCCTTTGCAATTCACTGTTTTGACTGTATTTTTGTTTCAGGCGCATAATGGTGTATCCAAGTTTCATCTACAGTAAATAATCGGCGCCAAAACTCGCATTTATTGCGCCTAAACTGCGCCAACAGAGCATTGAAAATGTTCATTCGAACAAGTTTTGGTCTGACGTGAGCAAACGCGACACCCAACGCGCTGATAGCTTTCTCATGCCTAAACCTTAATTAAATATGTGACAAACACGTTCTTTGGACATTTTAATAGCCTCTGCTCTATTCCTCACTTTAATTCGGCGTTGGTCTAGTGTGATTTGGTGAACTTTAGAGACGTCATCGTCAGTAGTAATGCAGTTTTTGGGCGTCTTGAACATTCATCATCTCCAAAGCTCTCACAGCATTTAAATTCAGCTGGCGAAAATTCCACTGTGGTAAATGATGGTACAGAGTCCCCATACACAGAGTACAACTCATTTTTGATTTTCGTAGTCCTTTCAAAAACAAAAATTTAATGACAGCTCGATTATCGAGAAAATTGAAATATTGAGTATATTTCAATTTTCACAAAAACACTCACATCGACTCACTAAAACGACTTTCAAATACCAACTACGCGTCAAAAACGGCTTAAATTTCGGTGTGTAACTGTCAAATGATGCACAACTACATTTACTAGCTTTTATTGACGGATTTTGTGATCTTCACGTTGAGGTCGGAAACTTTTCATACCACCTATACGACCCACGATATTATACTAGGGCCGATGCAAATGCAAAGGTAAAACCTTTTGCTTGCATCATAAACGGTGCGGATTAAAAGTCTAAAGCGCTCGCTTATGAGACATGTATTTTCTCATAGGCAATTTAGTTTTTGGTTATTTTTTAATTTCTTTTAGACAAATTCAGATTCTTATTGTTTACAAATCTTGTCTGCGTTGAGCTACATACATTGGCGGAAAAATATGTAAATTGGCCAACGGGTTACGGTGGAGATAAATTTCAAAGAATCGTTTTCTTGCGCCATGGGGCCCCGCTCCAATAAAGCAGAAGCGTCGTCGTTTCAAAAACGTAGGCCTTCGCGGATCCGACGTATCGTTTGTGCAATAATAAGACTAAAATTAGAAGGATATCATATTGCAGAACTGCAGCACGATGACATACTTGCCAACATCGCTTTAAAATATCGGTCAACTTTTTGTTCCTTTTTCGCAGTACTCCATACAAAATTAATAAGTTTTAATTAAATTGAACATTTAAGTGATACTTACCATAATTTTTAGACAGTTTTGCCTGAACGATTGTGATGCTGAGTCTAGCAGTCAACGGCGGACCTGCAGCTGGCACCTATTAAAAAATACACATTTTAAAATTAGAATTCAACAATATTATCTAGGTTTAAATTTAAAATGGCAAATGGTTCCATATTTAAATTTTAATGACATCACATCTATGCACGGAAGGTTAATGATACTTCACTGGTTAAATTAGATTCAGCACTTTTATAACGGCAGATCTTGTCATAATTTATAAAAGAAGTAGTGGTCTCACAGCTATATATATATATATATATATATATATATATATATATATATATATATATATATATATATTAAGTGATCTATGAAATACATAATATTGCAAATTTTCATTTCAACATCACTTACTAAATATAAGTGACATGACAAATAATAAACTACTAGCTGATACCCGCGGCTTCGCCCGCATGGTCACTGGGAAATGAACTATCCATTGCTTTTTGAATTGAAAGAAATCTGAGTTTTATAGATTTGTCAGAGATGCAGCCATTAAGAGGATATAGTAAGTCAGCTCAAATTCTAATTTCGCTCCCACTGCCCCGCGCGTCGTATGCTATGTACCGACATGTTTGTAATCACTAATACTGTAAGTAGAAAGGTCCTTAGACACTTATTTCATTAGGTTTATCATATTTATGCCTGTTTCTTAACGCCAAGCCAGTCGCTTCTTATTTTTATTACGGTTATTTCCCATTTTAACTTTACGTCATCCTGTTGCGTAATGTGTATTCTGATCGTAAGCGACACATCTTCCCGCTTCAAAGGCCGAAGCGAAACTGACCGGGCGGCAGGATTTAAGCTGCAAGATGCCGATAGTTTAAGTAATTTCTTTTTACAGTGAAAATAGCGGTATTTAAAAAAAGTAATAACATAAGCACTGCTTTATAGTTAGTTCAGTTAGTATGCAAAGTTTCATGATCATTCATTACTTTACACATCATTATTTAAACTATTTTATGAATAACAGTGGTTTATTGTTTATTTTGGAGGTAACTTTGGATTTTTTTTTGACCTTAACATTAATCCTCAACTTTACCATATATTTATTTCAAAATTAATGCTGCAATATTTTCGGCATAACGGAGGATCTTGCTAAGCTATTTGAGGTTATATTTCCCCTTAAAAGGAAACTGAGCAAAATTGATTCGTCAGCCTATTTAAATGTTTTGAAACGCAGCGTATAGGAAAGCATGAAAATAGCCTGTTTATTCCAAATGGAAATGGGATATTTTTTTAATTAAAGGAAACTGAGCATAATTATCCGTCAGAGATGCAGCCTTTTGAGTTGAAAGGAAACTGAGCTTCATAGGTCCGTCAGAGGTGCAGCATTTGGAATTGAAAAGAAACTGAGCTAAATAGAAAATTTTGAATTGTAAGGGAAGATCTGTGGGAATTCTGATTAATTGATTGTGGGAATATCGGAAAAAACTAACTGAACACTATTTTAAGATGCTACTGTACACAATGTTATATGTTTTTCCATTCGGGGAAAGACACAGCTGACCATGAGACAAGCACGGTTTTTCTAAGTTGACCCCCGCTACCTGTAACGTTTGCCCTTGCGCTTTATTAATTGTCATTGCAAAACTGAGCTTAATAGGGAACTGCAAACTTTTGAATTGAAAAGGAAGATCTGTGGGAATTATAGTGACCCGTGGTATAATAACATTTTCACCTTTTCCTACGCCTGTCAAAATTGTAGCACCGATTATGTTCCGTCCAAGATGTGTCACACGCAGCCTTGTCCCGTTACATAACCGAGGAGCATCTAAATTTCGCATTAGCATGACTGGGACGCCTAATTTTAATTGAAGCTTATGTGAGGGCACACCTGACAATTCTAGAGAATTTAGAAACTACGGGATATGAAGTCCTCTGTTCTGTGTCCATAACTGTGTCTACTGACAAATACTCTGTTATTTATCCTGCTACTTCGCTTAATATATCTGAATTTATTTTGTTAACGCTCTCATTTTTGGTGCAAGAAGCGCCCTTTCACATAACCATTTGTCTTCATGCATGTTGTTCGTTAAATCTGAATAAACGCTCGCAATTAATTCGGAATGACTCTGTACTAAATTACAAAAATCTCTCGTCAATTTAACGCAGCCCTCAGCATCCGTTTCCAACCACCCATCTCCAATTTTTAATAGTGTGTCAGCATAGTTTCCAGCATTGATATCATTATACAAATGCACTCTCATATTCGTAGTTAAACTGAATTTTGTAACCTTGTTCCATAAAATAGACGACCTGAGGCATGCTTTAATTTCATCTGCAGGGCACACCTTTTGAATGACAGGTAAAGTTTGGCGAAAGTCACCAGCCAGTAAAACCACCATTACTCCCATTACATCGGTATTTCTGCGCAAATCCTGGAGCGTTCGATTTAGTGCTTCTACAGCTTTTTTATGCGACATTGTACTTTCGTCCCACACTAAAAGTTTGCATTATCGTAGCATTATACCTCGTGCACTATTTTTGCTAAAGTTGCAGATCGGCGATTCTTCCTGGGCTAGATTTAGAGGGAGTTTTAAAACAGAATGTGCAGTGCGGCCCCCGCTTAGCAGCGTGGCGGCTATACCGGAGGAAGCTACGGCCACAGCAATGTTTTTATCTTTCCAGATCCTCCAGGGGCATCTAAAAAGAAAAGTGCACCATTTCCAGATTCAATTTGTCCTAATACTTTGTCAAAAACTCGTTTTTGTTCGGGAAGCAAGCGGGGTACAAATTCGGCTACTTGCTGCTACAAAGCTGGTAGTATATCGTAGTTTGTTTCACGTATAATTTCATCACTTAGTTCATTTTCGGTTGTTCGCTGAGCGCTTATCATTCCAAAGTCGCTTAATTTTTTGCCTACCATTGCCATTACTTTATCTTCAATTTTTCCAAGTGCTTCATTATAAATGTGTTTATTGTATGTCATGTTCGCGTGTGTCTGCTGTAACCTTCGCAAAATATCTTCCGCCATGTACTCTTTATATTTGTCCCACAATTCATGTGCATTAGAAAGCCCGCAAGATGATATGAGAGTTGCATAAAGATCCCTAATTTTGGCTGGTGACTGGCACTGCACAGCTTCCTCCATGGTTTCATCCCATTATCGTTTTCTAAAAGATGCAGAAATTCACATGCTTCTCTATAAGTTGCGCATTCCTGACCGTTGACAGTTTTAAGGTCTTTATATCCTGTAGGACCCCGAACATGGTGCAGCAGCAATCGTAAACAGAAACATTCAAAACTAGTTACATAGACGGTATACACACGACCAAGGGCATCTGGGACTTTACACCGGGCCAATTAGCAACAGGCGCGCCTTGAGTACGGCGTTTTCACTCCTTCCTAGATGTGTTCCAAGTATAATAGCGGGGGACTTCAGAATATAACAACTTTTTTGCAAAGGGGTCGGTTTGACAAAGTTGAAAGAAGGCTGTTAGTGTAGTTTTTGGCGGTGATGCAATTCTTTCTTGGAAATTTCTTTCGGTGAAATATACACGGTCTCCATTTTCTAAGTGCACAGCAAGGTGAGTAACTGTTGGGTGCCTTTCGTGTAAAGGGAAGCCAAGGAGACGCCACGCTGCCTCGGTACTGCTGACATAACATCCTGCTTGAAAGGTCTGCACTTCATTAACGGGATTTGCCTCACCTTCACTCCTGAGCTTAAATATTGCTTGGTCGCTTCCTTTATTTATGTACTTACAGATATACTTGATTGCGCGGACAGAGCTACATGCTTCTACAGTAATGTAATATTAATACGGGACAATCCAGCTGTTATCTAAGGTTTCGAACGCTCCAGAGCGAGATTTGATTGTAACTTTCCTGCCACCATCTTCGGGAGCTCTGCGTCTGTATAAAGGGTAGCCATTGTCATTGTGCACCGTTTCTTTTAATAGCTGTTTAGGGAATTTCTTTGTACATTTTCCTTCTTTCATACATGGCAATATTGAATTTCGTGCTCCACATGGACCGTGAATCATATTTCGGACGATGGTATCATACAATTCTTTATGTTGCTCACGATCAGGAATCTCGGCGCTTATTATGTCGTCTATTTGGCTGGGCCGCAACTTCTCTTTAAGCCATATTAGAATGTGGGCATGCGATAATCCTCTTTTTTGCCATTCAATTGAATACATGAAACACTGCACCTCTCCGAAAATTTTCCCTTTGTTAATTACATACATTAATAATTGTACTTTTAATCTAAATACTCTAGCAACTAAATCGTGTCTGACAGTACTTTTTTAGCCCGTAATTAGCTCTTCAGTTATTTCTTTCCATGTGGGATTGCAAGTAAAAGTAACAAAAAGATCAGGTCTTCCGTAGTTCGTACATAGGCGAATGCGTCTTTTGTGTACTCATGTAGGTAGCGGCAACTGTTAACGAATGATGAGGGCAGAATTACCATTTTACCTAAATCTCTGGGGTTTACATTGGCGTCGCTAGAAACTGCATCTTGTAAATGTATATAATTCTCAAAGCGCAGCTTTTTTTGATTTAAAGATATATAATGGAGACGTTCACTTTCTACCTTCACATACATGTCTACCAAAAATTGATGAAATAATTGTCTACACCGGACTAAGAGGTTAAAATCATTTTCTCGCAACATCATATGATACGTATAAAAATCCATACATGATACTTTTTTGTACGGAGTAGGCTCCTTTGTGACCGGGTTAATGAGTGGAATTTGAAAGTGATAACCCTCTTGTCCCTTGCATTAAATCAACGGGTATTGCAGAGCGTCATAAAACTTGTGTGTATCGGCTACCCGTTGCAACGTATCATCAGGTGCTCGCAAGACAATGTCTCGTGAAGAAAATTGATCACCACTAATTACGGCTGCTATTTCGTTTATCAAAGGTGCATCGTAGCGACTTTCATGCTCTCCTCGTGGGGTCCGATCTGCGTGAATGACGACTTTGTAATCCTCTTCAGGTAGGTTTTCTAAAGCAGTTTTAAATGTTTTCACTAAAATGTTACGTTCATGCAAGAATCTTTGAATTTTGAACACTGTGTCTCTCTCAACTCCCTGGATAAATTGGCAGCGACGGTCTACCTCAATTTCTTCGTCACCCATAAAATATACTTGTAAAAATGTATGCTGTTCGTTTTCAGTTGAAAAAAGTGAACCTATTCTATGATAAATTTGCCCTTGCACCGTAAATGTAGGCGAAAATCCCGGCATTATTATTTCCCTGTCAACTCCGAAGGACTTCATTTGAAAGCATGAGTTATATTTCCGGATCCTGTTTAAAAAGCGCAGTGACTCATTAGCATCATATAAAAAGAGAGTTTTCAAAGGTTCTTCTGGTTCCCCAAGTAACGGAAGAGACACTTTGCTATTGGAACAGCACATGCCTGCGGTCTCATCTTTCCATTTTAAAGCGCTGCAAAATCGACACGCCTTGTCCATCAGTCCGATAACAACTAACCTGTGATTTTTATAATCAATCAACGGATCATAATTGAATAATGCTGCGTCATTAAAAACCGACCAATTGTTTCTTTGAAAATTTTGTCGACGTTAAGCTTGGAGCTGTGCAATTGTATCTCTTCGCGCCTGTGTCTGTTCTAGTGTTTCAGATGACCTTATAGTAGATTGACGTTCAGCTTGCTCAATGAGTCTGTGTTGAGTTTCATCAAGTGTTTCCGCGGCTCATAAGGCGGCCTGACGCTCTGCCTGTTCATGAAGCCTTTGCTGACTTTGAGAAGGTGTTTCAGAAGCTCTTAAAGTAGCTTGACGCTCTGCCTGTTCAAGTCGCCTTCGCTGACTTTGAGAAGGTGTTTCGGAAGCTCTTAAAGCAGCCTGACGCTCTGTCTGTTCAAGACGCCTTTGCTGACGTTGAGAAGGTGTCTCAGATGCTCTAAAAGCAACCTGACGCTCTGCTTGTTCTTGCCTTCTCAGTTCAGCATCTTCTAAAGATTCTAGCGATCGAGCTAATCTTTTCGCTTGTCTTTGAGAAGATACTCTTGAAAGGCTGGACTTACGTTTACGAGGCATTATGAAGTAACAAAAAACCTATTTATAAAAAACCGTTAAAATACCTTAAAGGAATTAAATTTCCTTTTAATTATTTTTTTAAAGCAAATCCAAAATATCTAAAACGAATAAATATTCCTTTTAAATATTTTTTAAAATCAAAACAACAAAACCAATTCAAGACACAACACGAATCCGAAAACGATAGCCAAAAAAAATCGAATCAACTTAAACCAAATCACAAAACAAATCGCAGAAAACCGAAATCGAAAGCAGTAGTCAATATAAACATAACCAACGAAAAAAGAAGAAAGTGTATAGGTACCCTATACACTATCTCTATTAATATTCCTTTGAAATATTGTTAAACAACCTAGTACAATGAAAACCAATTCACGATTCTAAATAAACGAAATCCAAAATCAAAGCCAGAGTCTAAATATGTATAAAGGAATACCAACCAAATCAACAAAACCGATCCAAGAAAATACACAAATCCGAAAATGAAAGCCAATATAAATCCATTCAACCTTAACCAAATCACAAAGCAAATAACAAACAACCGAAATCGAAAGCAGGTAGTCGAATAAGCTACGAAATAGAAACAATTTAAGCGTATAGGTACCGTATGCACTATAAGTTGACGCGCGGCTCAACGGCGGGAGTTAAGTACATGTCAGGAAACATTTCGTTACCGCGTTTTAAAAACCTAGTAACGACATCTAGCGGAATCAATTTAAACTATGTATACGTTAGTTAATAAGAACTCTCAAAAAATATTTTTCTTATAATATTGCACAATTTTTCTTATTGTAATACCGATTCATTCATAACCACATATAAGAACTGTATTCATTTCCGTTCAATAAATATTACGGCTTATAAGGCTTACTAAGAACTGTTTCTACCACAGTTAAGTAATAGTTAAGGGTGAAAGCGTGACAGGTGGTGATAGTATTTCTGATCCATACTTATAATCACGCTTGTAACCCTTGCGGGGTAGGCGAAGCATCAACGGATTACTTAATATCGTCTGCGAGGTTATCGCCTATTCTGTGAATTACAATGCACCAAAACGTTTAAAGAAAATCAGCTGGTGAATTTTATGTTTTTTATCGCTCTCTTCCCGGTCCTGCGTGTAAAAATACAGATCCATACATTTTTTATCTTAATTTTGGTAAAAAGACATAATAATCCAGATATTTTGACCTTCCGTGTTCGTCCATCGTACCGTCGTCCGTCTTGTAGAATCACGGTGGCGCCACCTAGCTGAATTTAATTTTGCAACATATTCGATTTTCCCACGGGAATGATATGTTTTTCCGCTGAAAAAAGTAGCCTATGTCACTCTACAGCCACCGAACTATCGCCATACCAAAATTCATGCCATGCCGACGCTCTATTGCGACGTGAAAGAAGGACAAACTTTTGCAACATATTCTATTTTCCCACGGGAATGAGATGTTTTTCCGCGGAAAAAAGTAACCTATGTCACTCTACAGCCACCGAACTATCCCCATACAAAAAATCATATCATGCCGACGCTCTGTTGCGACGTGAAAGAAGGACAAACAAACAAACACACTTTCGCATTTATAATATTAGTATGGATTTTTGTATAATTTTATTTGAAGTTAAATTTATTCTAAAATTTAGAGACTATAACAACATTTAATGCATAGAATAAATTATATAATAAGTTTGATCTAGATTCTAGATCGAATATATTAATTTTGACCATAAGAATTTTTAGAAATTTTATGTCCAAATGAGTTCTAACCTAACCTGGTTAAGTTAGAACTCTAAAATAAATATCACAAAATAAAAGGAAATGAAATGAAGTTTCGCGCCTTTTACCCAAAGGGGTAAGAGACTACGGAAAATCTTTGGTACAATCCTGATACATCCCTCTCGATTTTTCCACATCCATTTATATGCACATACATGCTCGTCGGTTAATAGTACATTTTACTTGGCCCATAGATGAATAGATAGATAACACAATTATGAACAAAAAAGGAGAAAAAAAATGTGGTATCATGGGCGGTGTTAATGCATTACACATGAATGATATACATATAAAATTATAAATATTATGTATACATATATAAATGAGCGATAAATATACACAAATAGTGTAAATAGACAATAGTAGTACAATTATATACAAATAGCAATTTTGATAGAACCAAAGATGACAATACTAATATTGTACATATTTTTGTGTAACCAGTAGAGATTGAGCGGTCTGACCTCGGACTGTGCATGATCTTTCCAAAAATTTGGTAGTGTGAGCTGGCATTTTTCATATCAAATTTTCTGATGATCTCAAATGTGAGTCACGGAGGAATTCAAAATATGTTTGGGCAAGACCGATTGAAAGGATTGAAAAGAATATTATAAAGAAGCAAGAGAATATAATAGAGCATTCCAGCGTAGGTGAATTGCTATTATCGTGGAAAGATGTGTTTTAACGGTCGAGCTAATGTTTATAACATGTTTTGATTGTTATAATACCATAACTTACTAGACTCTTAATAGACTATCTATTAAGTGTTGATATTTATTTTATACTAGCGACCCCCCCCCCACTTCGATAGGATCGATTAATATGACATTATTTAGAATTAGATAACCAAAAACCATTAATTCAATCATTCAGAAGAAATATTTAAGTTTTTAGATTAGCCCAGAATGGTAGACAGAAAAAACTTTTAAAAATGGTTATTTATGTCTTAAAGATATGTAAATAAGTCCCTCGAGCTGAAAAGAAGCCAGTTTTTTCAATATAACAGACAGACATTTCAATTTTATGTATATATACATAGATATATGGGTAACATAATTCTATTTGTAATTGTATTTGATTCCCATCGACAATGAAACTGTTTGCAATATTAGGTTCTAATTTCCCACTTGTTTGGTGAAGTATTAAAAATTATAAGAAAACCTGCATGCCGATTATAAGGTGTAAGGGCTCCTTTTCTGTGTATGAGTCAGTATGATTACAATTTGTGAAACATTTCATTTTAGTCCTTAGTGATAATAATAAATCTGTATTTCTTTTTTTTTATAATAATTTATTTATTTATTTCTTTTTTCCTTCTTAATTTTTTTTTTTTTTTTTTTTTTTTTCTGTAGGTTGAAGGTGTCCATAGGTTGCCAGTAGCTACTTAACATCAGGTGGACAGTAATAAGAAGCAAATATATTGTGTACTAGCAACTTGCCCCGGATTTGCCTACGCGTGAGCTATAAAATTTTCAACCACAAAAAATTATTTAAGCTATCTCCAACTCTGGGCGTAATAACTAATTTTCACAGATGAATGCTATGTTTGACCATTAGGTGTCCTCAACCAAGTCAAATAGACAACTGTAAAACGATATAACTAAATAAATTTATATTGGCAAATGTATGCAAGTAATAATGTTCAAGAAAAGATATACGAACTAGGATACCGTTGGACCACAAACTAGGATAATCTGCACCTTGTGGTCTGAGAGCGCAAGTCAACAAGAGATTTGTACACAGTTTAACAAAAAAGAATAACACATATTCATAGTGTAATTTTACTCAAATGTGTGTGTGTATTATTCCCACTTGACAACCGATTTGTCAAAATGGCTTAATGGACTAGTAGAAGTATATTTGTTATCACAATCTGTAAATAACTACAATGTGGCTATAAAAGATAAAAATTCTCCAATACAATGTACAGCTATACCAACCATGTTTACCATATAATTCAATTTCAATATAAAATGGATATTCTTATTGAAGTATATCATTATAACTAAATTTACCGTTGCTCCACATAGTTGTTGTTGCAAAGCAAGGGCAGCTTGATAATCCGCATCAACATTTTCAGCTGTGCCATCTGCTCGGAGGAATCCAGCAGGAAGTGGTCCAAGTAGCACCTGTGAATAAAGCTATTTTAGTTATGACTTAACTATTTTAAGGTATAATTTTATCAACACAATACAGTCATCCACTGTGTAGTGTAACTGGTTACATACACCAATACCAGCGTCAAATAGTAGCTTAATGCTGCTGTGTTTCGTATGGTGAGTGTAGAGAACCGGTGACCCTTTTTACTGGAAACGAGGCATTCCACCTTAGGCCTCACGGATGACAACGCATCTGCATTTTGATTCGTAATCGAGGATAGATGTAGATGTCTATGGGCCACAGCAACCACTTACTGTGTGCTCGTTTGTCATCCTATCCCAAAAAAAAAAACCAAAACCATATTGTCCCATGGGTGTCTTTAAAAGTGACAGAGGTAAAATGAAACAGGAGATGGGCAACAGCATCTTCTTGGTAACAACTCAAAATAATAAAAAAGCTGCAATTGCCAGAGAGTCAGTAAGGGACGCCCTAGGCGAAAGTTTGTCGACCAAATTGGCGATCTATTGAAAAGGGGCCAAATTAAGAGTACCCTTAAGCGACGAGCATGTATGTGTAGGTATATGGATGTGGAAGAAGCGAGAGTTGTGTCAGGATCGAAATGGAAGTCTGTAGTCTCTGCCTACCCCTCTGGGTGACAAGCGTGAGTACTTATGTATGTAATGCAGTTGCCAAGCGTGGCAAGCTTAGCAAAATACCTCCATGGGGTGAGGGACGCCTATGTTCAGCACAGGACTTTTATAGGCTGTAATGAATGGAATGACTGGATGGATAAATAAAGACAGGGAATGAATCAATTCTTTAAATGGACTAAAGCTGTAGTACCCAACAATCCTGCAATTCTTTGCATTCATTTGTGTGATTATTATATATTATAGTTAATATTCTTATTTATAATGAAACTTCTTAAATAGGAATGCATTGTCCAGTACTTTGTTCTTCAATAGCAACACAACCCTATTTACCCTATTGATATTTCCCTCATTATATCAGAATTTTTTTGAAACATTTAACCAGTACAATTACAGATTTGTTAATGGTGCATAATTAAAATATAAAAAAGTGTAAAAGTGTAGTGTAAGTGAACAGATATATTTTTCAATACCTAATTGTGGATTGATGTAGAAAAAGGCAACAGCGGATGCAGTAGAGTCCAAGAGGGAGGCCTAGGTCATTACTTTGGACATAGCAAAGGCCTTCAATGGGCTTTGGCACAAAGCGCTTCTTTAGAAGGTTCCTTTCTACGAGCTTTGAACTGTCTGCCTGTTTGTCATTCTTAATTATATAAAGAGTGCATATAAATTAATATTTCCACTTTGGAATGTTATTAGTTTCCATTTGATTAATTAATTTTACTAGGAGAAGCCATAATTTTAGACTTACATGAAGGTACCCCACTGCCTTTAGGAATAATAAAACCAGACTTGTTTAGAATTTTTCATATAAACATTTATAGTTACTAAAAATACTGACAAGTTAACTATTAGCTTACCTAAGGTCTATGCAAACTAGTTGACTATAATGATCTGAAATTATGATAATAGTAAAAATAATTTAAAATTGACATATCTATTATAAATTAGCTATGATGGCACTTTTACAGACTAACATCTTTAGTTTTAAAAAAATCAGGGAAATGAATAGCTTTGCCTTTAAAATAACAGAATACTAACCACCTGAATTTTGGGCCCTTTACCCAACTTTTAGGCCCTTTATCCATAGAACTGAATTGAATTCCAATAAGACCAAATATTTTCGTGCATAAAAAACAAAAGAAAATAACAAAAACTCACTAAAAGAGACTGAAACCTCATACTTTGGTTTTGAAGTAAATAGAAAAAAAAGTATATATTTTAACGAGATGTTTAAAAAAGGTCTAATTTGTAAAATACTGTGTGAATTTCAACTAAATCGAATAAATTAAATCGAATAAAAAAATGTAGAAACTGTACTTTACGCAGACGGCTGAAATCGGTCTGATGGAAGTAAAACGAAAATATCGCCAATTAGTGTAAATCATAATTTTCTGTAGACTGCTTCACAATAATTGCCTTTTATATTACTGCGTATTCGCAATAGATAATACAACGCTTTGTTCTGATGCTAAAATAACAGGCATCGTAAAAACATGATTAATTCGTTATGATTGTATTCGGAGACGAAATTTTTTTAACTGTGTAATAAATAGATAAAATTTACCCTGCGCCTACGTTCTTCATTCCTATCAGTTGGTAATGTGGAAGTCATATTTATTTTTGCAGTACCACTATTTCACAATAAAATAATATTATTATGTTCCATCGAAAACTCGCGAACGTATGAAAATGAAATAAATTGCCTACTACGAACCTACGAGATTATTATGATAAATAATCCCATAGACAATACTTCAAATTCAAAACTAAAGAGAATATAATCACTACGTTGTTCAAAATTTCTAAGAGCAGAGCATGGAGGTTAGAGAACAGGAGAACGATCGCTATAGAAAAGTGTCCCAGAAATATGGACAAATAAGTGAGGCGCTGCGATCGCTAAGTTTGTGTCAATAATTTTAATTATTATAAATATTATAAATTATTACAAATATAAATAATTAATTTTGTGTGGTATCTATATAGTTTTCTAATCTGGTTGGGTTCTATGAATATATAATTATAAACTAAAATGAAAAGATAAATATACACAAATATCAATAAAATAAAATAAATACAAAAATACATAAATAAATAAAAGCCCAACCAGATGGAAGCCCTCGTCAGGGGAGACCAAACGGCCGAGGGTTAGGAGGAAAGGGAAAGAAACCGGCGGACGATGCGGGCGGTATCGAGGAGCACCGCCTTCTGCATTTGAGCCCGGAGCAGTCCGTCACGGAGTCCCAGTCGCCTCAGATGACCCGAGAGGCTGACTGGGATTAGCCCATTTGCAGAAACGACTACAGGTATCTATAATTTCGACCGGCATACCACCCCACATGTCGGTCACCTCGTGGGCCAGGTCCAGATATTTTGTTCGTTTATCTGTTTCGGCTTTCACGAGATTCTCGTCATATGGAATGGTAATGTCGACCAAAAATATTCTTGACTGTGCCCGGTGCATCAGCACAATATCAGGCTTATTCGCAAGAATAGTCCTGTCCGTGATGATGGCCCGGTCCCAGTAGAGCCTGGCGCGGTCATTTTGGAGCATGGCTTCCGGCAAGTACTTGTAATACGGCAATTTCCAGTCCACGAGACCGTATTTCAGAGCGAGCTCCCGGTTTAGAACTCTGGCTACTAGGTTGTGCCTGTGCAAGTACTCAGAGTTAGAAAGCGCCGAACAACCGGAGATGACATGCCTAAGTGACTCCCCGGGATGGCGACAAATTCGACAGATGTCGACGGTGCCATTCTTTAGGATGTATCTCCGATAGATGTTGGTCTTAATAACCCGATCCTGTATTGCACAGACAAAACCCTCGGTTTCCCCGAGGAAGTCACCGAAACCTAGCCAGTTGAGGGAGGCTACTGTGTCTACGTGGGGCTCATGTAGAGCCCTGTAGTACCTCCCGTGGAGCTCCTTCTCCTTCTATACGGTCTCCCGGTCGGAAATGCTCTGTACTGCCGGGTCCTGCCATTGCTCGTTGGCTAAGGATACAGGGGTAACTCCTTTATCACTAGAAATGACGTCATTATATATGGGTAATCCGATCTCGCCAGGAAGTAATGACTTCGTGATTATGCATGGTGAGCGCGCTCAGGAAGCCACGCCCACCATGCTTTCGCAACAAGTACAGCCTCATTACCGACAATTTCGGATGATGCATCCTATGGGATGTCATGGTAGTGCGGACTTTTCTATCCAGGGCGTTAAGTTCAGTCTGAGTCAGCCTGAGTATGCCTAAAGTATACATGAGGACAGGCATGATCCAGCCGTTATATGCGTTTGTCTTAATCACACAGGGCAAAAGGCTGTTAAGCACTTTGGTCAAGCGTGTATAAAACACGTTGCAAATTGACTGTTTCATACCAGCCTCATCGATACCGATGTTCTGTGACGTACCCAGGTATCGGTATGTTTCAGCCACGGAAAGGGTCCTTAAGCTGATGGGCATAGATAAGTCTATGCCCTCAGAATTAGCAACCCTTCCCCGTTCAACATGGAGGACCGCACACTTATCCGTCCCCAGCTACATTCTAATAGAATTGCTAAATTCACAAGTGATGTTTAGCAATTCCATAAGATGGGAGCGACTGGAGGTGAATAATTTGAGGTCATCCATGTAGAAAAGGTGGGTCACTATTGTATCTCCTTTCCGAAGCTGAAATCCGCTCCCGGAGGCCTCCAGTAAAGTACTGAGAGGGTTCAAAGAGAGGCAGAACCAGATTAGACTTAGACAGTCGCCCTGGAATATGCCCCTTCTTATCCTTATGCGGCTTTCCCAGCCGTCATCCGCTCGCCTAGATGACAGAGGATCGTACTCCACTGCTCGAGGACGACTCGAACTGAACAGTCAATCTTGTACAGCTCGAGGACCCTCTTTAGCCATGTATGGGGCACCGAGTCAAATGTACGAGAAGTTCCGACGGTTGCGTTTTACTACTTTGCCAATGACCGCGTCAATGAGGAGTGGTTCCTTGATTCCACGACCGCCACCCCGACATCCATTTTGAGTGCGCGACATCACCTGATTTGAGTCCAGGTGACGAGTGATTCTCGCTCTCAAAATGGATATTAGTGTTTTCTATATGGTTCGTAGACAAGTAATGGGGCGGTATTTGCTCGGGTCTGTGGCACCCCGATCTTTAGGAACCAAATGAGTGATCCCAGTAGTGAAGAGTCTTGGGAGCGACTTCTGGTTGAGAGCCACTTGAAACTGTCGGGCGAGCACAACGTGACACATCATGAAACCCTTCAGCCAGTAGTGATACAGCCCGTCAAGCCCCGAACTTTTCCAATTCGGGGCCCTACGGACCGACTAAGCTACGTCATCCGGCGTTATGATGACGAGGTCCATGGGCGTCATACCCGCACACTGACTCGCCACAACTTCCGTCCAAGGGCCCTCGTTGTGGTTTACGGGCTCTGACCACAGACTGCGCCAGAATGCGACCGTGTCGGCCTGATTCGGTGCTGGGCCCGTTCCACTTACCATTGGTCGCTCCAATGATTTATAGAGCCTCTTCTGATCTCTCTGGAAGAGATGATTCTGGTTGAACCGTGTCGACCTCTCGGTATATCGCCGAATCCGCTATCCCCAAGTAGCGATTCTTTGCTTAAGGTCGTCTATGCGCTTCGTCAGTTTTTGCATTATATCCGGCTGGGACAAACTAACATTTGTCCCAGCAAACGCCATCCTGACGGTGCACACAACCCTTGGCCTGGTATTGCCTGACCTGAAGCATATAAGTTGCCGATGAGGGCCCTAGCCTTTGCGATACGTTCTTTAATTCTTATTCTCCAAACTGGGGCAGGAAAGTTTGGCGCCTATAATACGGCAGACTGCCAGTGCGACAACAAAAAGAATTGAGTCCGTCTCGCAAAGGTCCCGGCTGGCTTCCAAATAGGTCACCAGAATTGGGTTCAGAGCCCTCACGACAGCCCGATTCCGCTTGTTTAAGGCTATTCGGGGAAGTCACGGTCGAGAGGCGTACTGCGCGTATATCAACAATCACCTCTTCCAATGTACTCCTAATTTGCTCTAGATCCAGTTCCTGAGCGACTGTTATATCATCGTTAGAATCAATCACAACTGGGGTATTCACGGCGGCATCCACGTTTGCCGTTTGCTCAGCAAGTTGTGGCGCCGCATCCTCAGCCGCAGCATTTTCACGCGATGAAGGAACAGCCTCACGTCGTAGCCGTTCGAGTTCGGTGACATCAAATGTATTTGAGCGCAAGATATACCGAACTCGGTCCGCCAGGTTTTGCTCGGTAACGGTTACAGATAGCTCCAGCTCAGCAAAAAGTCGATGCATCCTTGCCCGATACGCAAAACCTCCAGTTTCTCCCCCTTTCGCCCTAAAATACGCCCGCAATGTGTTGCTGTTCATCTGGGTTGTCCAACGCATCTGGCGTACTCCACCAGTGACGGGTGCCAATTGCTGGGCCCGCGAAGACCCTGCCGACACCAAGCCAGCTGGTGGGGATGATGGATTCGAGGGGCTGCTGGGTGGTCGTGCAGCACCTCGAGCTCGGCTGGCGGCTCGCATGCTGGCGCATCCAGCGCCAGCTCCAGATGCACCCTGGTGACCCCCAGGCAGCGGCCCTTTGCGCGTTCTATTTAATTCCATCATCCATTTTAGAATGCGTCAAATAACGGGAGACGCCCAAACCCGGCGCCGTTTCATTGTGAGGCCATGTGCACAAGTGGGCCTTTGAACCTTCAATTTTTACCGAAGCACGGCACTAACACCTCTTGGCAAAGTGCTGACTGAATGCGCTGACGTAGTGGTTTTGTCACATAGCCGTTACGTCAGCGGGCTATGGGGTCATCACTTCCTTTGATTGTTGATTATTATTGATTTAATATTATTATTATTATTATTACTATTTTTTATAATATTTCACCATTTTTCAATGTTTCTTTTTGTCAAAAATTAAAAAATTACTTCGCAGACACTACTTACCGACGGCAGCGCGGCTATAAATTCTACAAATTTTTAGGGACAGGCGAGCTATGCTTTACGTACGTACGTACGTAGCGATTGTTCTCCTGTTCTCTCACCTCCATGGAGCAGAGCATGGACGTTAGAGAACAGGAGAACGACCGCTGTAGAAAATAGTGTCCCAAAAATATGGCGACAAAATAAGTGACGCACTGCGATCTATAAGCTGTCTGTAAGTAAGTCTCAATAAAAGCGGGCTGTTGTGCGCTAGTTTGAAATGATTATAATGTCATTCAAAGAAAAAAAATAACGAATTTATTATTACTATTATTCATTAATATATAAATTATATATGTTTTTTATAATTTTAATTATTATAAATATTATAAACTATTACAAATATAAATCATTATTACTGATCGATTTTTTTTAATAATATTTCACCATTTTACGCTTCATTACTCAATCGACTAACTACCTCTACCAACAGCGTCCTGAATACACTTGTTGATAGGTGGGATTCTGCCATTGTGAAGCACTTGTGAAGCCTATATATAAAATTAAATAAAAGTAAATAAGTAAGACATTTGTAACGTAGGAGCGATGTTTAATTTGTTAAGTTAAAAAAATAAAAGTTAAATACTAACATTAGTTTTAAGTATA